ATAATAGTGGATACAATATATACCTTTGTGTAAACCCACAGAATCGCAACATAAATGAACTTAGCGTACAAGGTGGGCTCAGGGCTATGATGTCAGTGTTGCTCATCAGCGGCAACAAATACACTATTTTGGTGCCCTATGTAGATAGTGGGGTAGGTTGTGCCATGCGGAAGCAAGAGGTATATGGGAAGTCTCTGTACCTCCCACTCAGTTTTGCTGTGACCCTAAAACTGGGCTACAAAGTGTCTTAAAATATCATGTCACACAGAGGAAAAGAATGACAATGCTAATTTTCATTCAGCAAAGATATGGTGCCTACTATTTGCCAGGCACTGTTCTATGTTTTGCAGATGCAGTAAAGACAAAGAAAAGAAATCCCTGCCTTCATGAGGCTTATGCTGTCAAAGTACGAATCAGATAATAAACAAGTGTGTACATGGTGTCGGATGTGACCAGTGAGTGCTATGGAGGAAAGCGAAGCAAAGAAGGGGTGGGGAGTGTGTTTAGGGGACAGCAGCTGACCTGGCATAGGGTCAGGGACAGCCACAGGAAGGCAGCATGGAGCAGAGCTGCGTGCAGTGTAGGCTGTGCAGAGGGCACAGCCAGTATTAAGGCCCTGAGAAGGAGGCTTTCCTGGGGTGTCTCAGGACTAGCAAGGAGGCCAGCATGGCAGGGTGGTGTAAGCATGGGCGTCGTGGATGGATCTGGGGAGGCAGAGGTTAGGGGAGACTCAGGCCATCTAGGGCCTTACATGATTTTTCTTTTGAGACAAGTCCTGCTAGGTAGTTCAGGCTGGTTTTGAAGTCACTGTGCAGCTCAGGCTGGCCTCAGACTCATGATGATCCTCCTGCCTCAGGCTCCTAAGTGGTAGAATTACAGGTGTGTGCCACCATGCCCAGCTTCCTACATGCTATTGTAAAGATGTCTTGTTCTTCTCCCCCTCCTTCTTTACTGTCCTTCTGTATGCTAAGAAGCCTTTCAGAGTTTAAGCCGAAAAATGACTCAATCACTCTGCCTGCTGTGCTGAAAATTACTGTGGAGATGGGTGGGGGAAGTGACCTGCAGGGTTTCAAGACCAGTTTGTACAACCTGGGGATGTGTACAGATGGCTGTGACTTGGCCAGGACGGTGATGGTGGAGATGGTAGAGTCAGCTGCAAGGCAGAGTTGACACGACCGGCTGACTTACTGCATGTGGCACATAGAGGAACCAAAGTTTTGCTGGGGGCAGCTGAAAGGATACAGTTGCCATTTCATTGGATAGCACTGCAGGAGACAGATGTGAGAGGAAATCTCCACTGCAGTTTTGGGCTTTGAGTGGATAGTCTAGAGAAGGTATTTTTTTTGAGAGGTATTTGAATATGGGAAATGGCCTGAAAACTGGGCAAGAACACAAAGTAAGTGTAGAGAGAAAAGTGTAAGAAACGAGATATGAAACACTGCAAAGCTGGTAGGAAGAGAATACTGAGAAGTTCCCCATGAGGTAGAGGGAAGCCTGCAGGTTGTGCTGTGGAGACCGTGGATAGACTCGTGTGGGAGAGATCACCGTCAAAGGCTGCCAACAAATCACAGATAGGGGCTGAGAACCATCACAGCTAACAGTGTGGAGCCAGCTTGTGACTCTGACAGGGCAGTTCTGGACGTGTTGGGGGTTGTTATGGTTGATACACTGTGTCAATTTGAGGAGTCTAGAGGCTTGGCTAACTCGCAGTTCTACATCTTGGGGTGAAAAGGACACGCCCTACTGCCCTGGGTTGTTCATTGTCAATTTGAGAAGTTTAGAAGGGTAACTAAGTGACTGAACAGGGATCCAGGGTGCTTACTTTGTATTCATCATGAGCCTGTGCAGGAGGAGGGCATTAGATCATGTGAGTGCTATAGGCCCCCTGGGTGGGGGCAGTCTGCTTACAATACAAGAGAGGAAAAGAGACTTGCTTTCCCCTTTTGCTCTTGTTGCTTTGTGCTGTTCTTCTCCGCTGTGAACTGCTGCCCCTGCACTATGCCACTCTGCCTTGGAGCCAGCCCAGTATGGACTGAAACCTCCACATACTGAGCTAAATAAACCTTTTCTTCCTTAATTTTGTGTGTTGGGTATTTTGTCTCAGCAACTGGACAAAAATAACTAGGACAGGGTTGATGACCTACTGAAAGGGCTGAGATGGGGGTAGTTCTAGACACAGGGAGAGAGCATCAGGGCACACAGGAAAGTGTGAGGTCATTTTCTTTTCTACAATGAACTGAATCATATCGTGGTTCTAGAAGTGACACAGGCAGGGAAGTGCTGATGTGATATTCTTGAATAAGTAAATGGATGAGCTTGAATTGAAGAGGCGGTGCTGCCTTTAGCCAGAGGCAAACACGATTCACAGAGGATTCACAGAGCAGCGGGAGGGAAGGAGAAGGTACGTGGGTGCAGACTATGATGGGGGAAGGCTATCTCAGGGAGTGAGACCGTTCTGCACACTTGAAAAGGAGACTTTTGGGAGTCATGGCCCAGGCTGGTAGACACCTAACATTCACACAGTGGTTCTGAGGACATGTACACAGGGACGCAAGCGGTATCCACCCAGCTAATGTTACAGTGAACTCACCTGCTACATGGTTTTACCTTCGTTCATGTGAAGAAATGGAAGCAAGGAGCCGGTCTCCTGGCTCACAGGCCAACTCACTTCACCCCACCCGCATGTGTGGACTCAAGCCATGCCCCTTGCAACCAGTGTTCATGAAATGAAACCAAGACACAGTCAAGCTTTGTCTGCTTTATTTCACTACATTAAGTTAAGCAATAAGGCAAAACAGTAACCTGTCATTCATAAAGATTAAGGAGTGCCTCTCATTCCCAAAGGACCAAAAAGGGTGTTTCCTTACAAGTACACATGACATTTAGCTCGTTATGCTACAGTCTGGACTTTGAACAAAAGAAGAGTTTGGCGAGTGAATCAAATCACAAATCCAAATTAACTCAGGCTCATGTTTCCCAAAGTGTAGTTTCAAGTGCTAATGTCATCTACCCCTCCTGTGCTGGTGCACACTGACGAGTGCTAACAACTGCACCTATTCTAATATAAAAAAGGCAACAGATACAATTTCCAGTTCACCTCCGGCAGGTGTTGTACCAGTTTTATGAACACATAGAATACCAACTTGTGCTAAAACTTGTCTTGAGGAATGGAAACCAGCAGCTCTGTTACTCTGCAAGATAACTTGGCCTCTGAAGAAAAAAACTCATCAAGTATTTTTGGGTTTTGTTATCATGTGGGAGTGATGAGATCCTTTACTTCAAATACCAGCTTCAAGCCACACCGGCATGACACACAACCCTGTGCAGCCCTCGCAAATGTGTGAACACGGGAAGCCGTTCTCCCCTCCAAAGCCCACTTCCTCCCGCGGCCAGCTGGAGCGGGGTTTCCATAGGCTCTACACATAGTGATGTGGAAACGGACACTCTGTGGGGGCCACAAACAACCAAACTCTTTCTACTCTGCAACATTATCAATGACCCACCTCCCTGCCCCGACTTCTAAAAGCCTAAACCTCAATTAGTATTAACCTCATAATATTAGAGATGAGGGTTTTTTTTTTTTATACTGCAACATGTATTACTCTGTGGGAATATTGCTTCATAAAATTGGCTTGACCTTAAGAGTACAAGTTAGTGTCTTTCAAAAGCTTCTGCCGACAAGGACCATGTCTATGTGTAGTCTATATTATATACCTTAAGTTTTTTTGTCTTTTTGAGACAGGGTCTCACTATACAGTTCAGGCTGGCCTTGAGCTCCACTTTGTAGCCCAGGCTGGTCTTGAACGTCCTGCCTCAGCCTTTCGAGGGCTGGGATTATAGGCCTGTTCCACCACGTCCCAGCTATCTTAGTATTTTTAAACTAAGAGCTTAAAAACAAAACCAGGGTAAACAGGAAATTTATCTTTTCCTCAAAAGTCTGTTGGCCACTTACTAAGAATACTTTTAAAGAAAAGTGTTGTGCAGCTGATGGTCCACTTTGTCAAGTCTTGTTTTAGAAACACAGAAATTCAGGTTAGCAACTCAGCTCCAGTATCCAACTAAAAACAGTGCATTGGTTAGGCCAGCATTGTGGGTTACTTGTGGAACTATGTTATGGTTTACAATCAAAACGGTCTTATTTGAAACATCATAGGGCCGGGCATGGTGGCACATGCCTATAATTCCAGCACTCTGGAGGCTGAGGCAGGAGGATCCTTGTGAGTTCGAGACCAGCCTGGGCTACAAAGTAAGCTCAAGGCCAGCCTGAACTGCATAGAGACCCTGTCTCAAAAAGACAAAAACAAAAAACAAAACAGAAAAAAACCCAAAAACATCATAGGACAAAAATCTTAACCGCTGTAAAAGGAAAAGTTGTTTTACTTAATATCTGGTTTGGGATTCAAGAGATTGTAAGAGGTAATTTCCCCTTCAAATTAGTGGAAAGAACATTAGTTCAGATCATGCTAAAGTTCTAACTTTAAAAATGTTTTCTGCATTCCAGAAGTGAACTTGTCCCTCAGGCTTTCCTTGGGCTCCTTCCAAGTCCCAATTACTCAGAACACTTTACTGAGTGAAGCAGGCAGAGCGGAGCAGAGGGACAGGGAGTTAAGAGTACAAAGATCGCCTCTGGTGGCAGCATCCAGACCTGCGTAATGTGGCAATACTTTAAATGAATCCAGTTTGCTACCCCATTTTTTTAAAGTTCTAGGGCTAGAGCCCAGGGCCTCACTGAGCTACATCCCAGCCCTTTTTATTTTATTTTGAGACAGGGTCTCACCAAGTTGCCCAGGTTGGCCTTGAACTTCCAATCTTCCTGCCTGCACCTCCTCAGTAGCAGGGAGTATGGCCACGGGCCACTGTGCCTGGTGATAGCAAGTAACTGCTTCCTTCTGAAATTTTTATTAAAAGAAAAAGTTCCACATTCTTCTGTGAAAAAATTTAAGAGCAACAGATAAATAAGTGTCCTGTATTCACTTAGAAGGGGGCAAAGGAAGAACACCTTAAGAATTACACAGGTTTTTTTTAATCATCACAAAACGAAAGACAGTATGACTGCTATCTTCCTGCTATACGGAAATCTGTGGCAAAGTGAGAGCCGTGAGGGCAAGTGAAGGGATATGTTTTAGACTGCGCAACCACAGTGAATGGAAGGCAGAAAGCAGTCGCTACACTGACACCAGCGCTGGACAAGTAGCGGGTCCAGCATTGGGTTATCATTTTAAGTTTTGTTTGTCAGACTGATCCTTTGTGAGATCAGATTGAGAGACAGTATGGTCTGTTTCTCTGTGGTCAATTTAACACCACTGTGAGGAACAGCCGTCCCTTCACTGGGATGGAACTGTGCTGCTGTTACGCAACGTGCAGGGCAGAGTGAGGGAGCCACAGACTTACTGGTGCCAACAGAGGAGACTGCAAGAGGAGTAGCAGTTACCCTGTTCCCAGTGCCTGTCCTATGCTCCACTCCTGGGAGAAAGATTCAGTAGTGCATGGTACAGCGTTACAAACAAGGTCTAATGAAGCAGCAGCTTCCACATTTTAACATGGGTTTGTGGTGATAATGCTGCTGGTGGGATCTGCCCACCAGGGACGCTCTTAAGGGAGAAGCGGACCCAAGCTGAGTTCCACGTGCTGGGTGAGCCAGATGACTTCTATGCCCTGGTCACTTTCTTCACTGGGGCGGATGGGAGCTGCCAGGTTTTTAAAATCATGCTTCATCTTGAAGCAGACGGTCACTTCGCCCTCCTCACGCTGTGGAGTGACTTTGATGAAAATGCCCACTTTGTTGGCCTTTCTAAAGGCTATAATGCTATGGAAGGAATAAACAGCGATTAGGCAGGTCACAGGTCAGCCAGAGCACTGAGACCGACAGCCACATTGCACGGAAGTACATTTCTAGTACGATATGATCATCACATCCTATTTATCAGCACTAACCAGCGTCTCCAGCACACACTGATCTCTTTATTTTCTGAGTATTATGAAAGTAAATGTAGACAACAAATTCAGTTGGGAAAAGGTAAATCCTTCCCTTTGTTCTTGCTATCAGCATACAGATAAACTGTAAATACTCTGGTTCTTAATGTATCAGATACTTTTCTAGAAGCTTACATTTTTCTGCATACTTAACACAAATGAGACTGTAACTTGCATTTATTTATTTTGGGTTTCTTTTTTGAGACAGGGTCTTATGTAGTTCAGGCTGGCCTTGAACTTGCAGAACCCTCCTGCCTCAGCCTCCCAAGTGCTGGGATTACAGGCATGCACCACCACAGCCAGCTATAATTAGCTTTTTAAACTGTTTATCACAAACACCTTACCATATTGGAATATATAAATCTACATTCTATATAATGGTTGCATAGTATTCAATCACAAGTTTACCACAACCACTGTACATTGTAGCTGCTGCCTAGTTATTATAAATCAGGTGGTATAAACATTCTTTTATATTTATCTTTGTATACAAGTGGAGACTTTTTAAAAGACCTCTGAAGGGGGGGTGTCTAATAATATGGAATGACAAAGTTCTATATTATTAGAATAACATAGAATAATATCGAACAACAAAACACCTGTCTGGGTATTGTCTGAAGGTTACTGAGGTTCAGCCATCCCTGTGCCTTACCTTTCCTTCATTGCCTTCATTTTATTTTTCCAACCCATCCCGTTTTGTCTTCTCTCCAGTATCGTGTTGAGGTAGTTTTTGATCCATTCTATGAAAAACTTTAAATGTCCCCTGTGCTAGTTTATCAAGCTGTTGGACAGGACTCTGCTAAATCCGCTTCTGCTTTGGCATCTGGCTCTCTGCTAGGTCCTATCAGCAGAGGACTCAGAAGCTCCACAGGTGGTAGAAGCTTAGGGGAGAAGGGTCTCGTTCCTCCTCCTCAGCTTCCCATCTGGGGTGGTTCTTGTGGGGCTCACCCTAGCTACTCTTCTTCACCCAGGAATGGCAGTATCCAGTTGGTTTTCCAGTTCCTGGCTGACCAGCTGCATTGTGCTGCTCTCCTGCCACTCTGAGATGCCAGCAGCACGCGTCTCCTCCCCACCTCCCTAGCACTCCTGACTTTCAGGTCGTTGGGGTTCCTCCTTTAAGCTTCTGAATTTAAGTACATTCTTTACTTATCTGTCATTAACTTATTTCAACTGTACATATTTTTAGGGACCAGTGCAATAATTTAATACAAAGATACAACATATGAAGATCAAATCAGGGTAGTTGGAATTTCTACCTCAACACTATCTTTTCTTTTTTTTGTCTTTTTGAGACAGGGTCTCGCTATGCAGTTCAGGCTGACCTTGAGCTCCCTTTGTAGCCCAGGCTGGTCTTGAACTCATAAGGATCCTCCTGCCTCAGTCTCTCAAGTGCTGGGATTATACGCATGTGCCACCATGCCCAGCTTCAAACACTGTCTTAACATTTTTGATTAACACATAAAAACTACAGAGCCACGAGGTGCAGTGTGATACTGCAATACATATATACAATGTGTACTGACCAAATTGGCGTGATTAGCGTTTTCATTGCTTAATGTTATTTTGTATTTGGAAGCTTCTAGTTCTGCTCTTGCAATTGGAATTTTCGTTTCATTTTATTTTCTGAGACAGGGTCTTGCTATGTAATTCAGGCCATCCCTAAACTCACTATGTAGTCCTGGCAGGCCTCGAACTTGTGGTGATCCTCCTACCTCCGCTTCCCAGGTGTTGGGATTAGGGCATGCACCACCACGCTTGGCTCTGTAGTTTGAATTTTAATATTTCTAACTATTTCTTTTGGTTCCCACAGCCCTAGGGATGTTAGCTGTGTCACAGGAACTTCAGAGTTCTTTTTAACCCTTTAAGTTAGAAACTTTTTTTTTCTGCAGGGGCTACTGTGACAAGGTCTTGCTATAGGCTTGCTATAGGCTGGCCTTGCCTTGAACTTGCAATCCTCCTGTGTTTGGGTTACAGACAGGTGAGTCTCACTGCACTAGGCAGTAATTCTTTATTATTAAATTCTATCTGCTCAAAACATGGATATAATTTTATTTTCTATTTTTTTTTTTTTTTTCTGGGCATGGGGAATATAATTTTAGACTGGTTTTTTTTTTTTTTTTCTGGGCATGGGGAATATAATTTTAGACTGGATCCTGACTACTGCATTCCTAACCAAGGGAAAATTTTTGTGTGTGTGGTGGTGGTGGTACTGGGGATGGAACTCAGTGTTATTCTACCACTGAGCTACATCCCCAGCCCTTTTTATTTATTTTTTAAATTTTGAGTCAGGGTCTCACTGTTTGCGAATCTGGTCTCAAGTTTGTGATTCTTCTGCCTCTGACTCCTAAGTAGTGGCCTTGCAGGTGTTCATCACTGCACCAAGCTCAAAGTGTTTGTTTTGTTACTTCTTAGTTACTAAGAGAGAGTACAATCTATTAATCACTTTAAGTGGGTGGAAACAAACTCAGTGATAAATGGATAGGAACCAAATGCTGTGTTTAATCCCCAACCATTAAAAATCTTACACTTGAAGTTGGGGGTATGGTGCCACATGCCTGTAATCCCAGTATGTGGGAGGCTGAGGATTGCTTTGCATTGGAGGCCAGCATGGGCTACATAGTGAGTTCAAGGCCAGCCTGAACTACATAGTAACATAGCGAGACCCTGTCGCAAAAAAACAAACCAAACCAAACCAAACAAAAAAATCATACACTTGAAAAGTTTCGTTAACATGTAACAATATACATTTAAGTGAAAAACAAAAGCTAACAAGCAGTTCACAGAATACTTTATGGTGGAAGAAGTATCTGGAAGGACAAACACCAAAATGGTCACAGTGTTCATCTCTGACAGTGGGATAGTTTTATTAGATATATTTCCCACATTTACACAGTGTTTATTTTTGTAAGGAAAAAGTGTTATATGCAATAATCCAGGTAAAAAAATGAGAAGATAAGATATGCAAGTGAGCCAACCGTTACTTAGGATCACAAACAAGATCACTCACTCAGGATCATCCTGAAAGTCCTGGGGCTCTGCCAGCTCATCATACTCTGCTGCGGCGTCCTTGCCAGCCAACACGAGCTCTTTGGGAGGCACCACCACCTGGTGAGCAATAGAGGGGACGGGTGTGCTGTGGGACTGTCACGCAACAGAATGTGGCCAGTACTACGCTGACCTAGACATACAAAGTAAACAGCAACTTTCCAGACACATATGACATTATGCTCTTTACATATGGAGGTTAAAAACATTGCTTAGGAATACAGACATTCGTAGTAAAAATAGACAAATGAAGACACTTCTGGGAATGATAAAGTCGAGCGCTTGCTTCATGTGGGCTGCAAAGGAGAATTCAAGCAGGGCAATTGCAGGGTACCTCACCATGTCTCTAACATTATTTTTACTTTTTGTTCCTTTTGTATTTATTTATTTTAATGTTTTACTTCTTATGAGAATGAGGAGTACATGGGTGTTGTATTTTTTTACCTTTTTTTGGAAACAGTTCATTTTTTTAAAAAAAGACACTAAAGAGAAACATTAGCTCCAACATAGGAATAACTGGGTATATTTATGGTTATGCTAAAGAGTTATGCATTCTTTAGACTTACTTTAATGCTGTCTCTGATTTGCTCAGAGGATAACAGATACAACTCCAAACGTATTTCTAATTATGCACACAAATGTAGTAGGGCTGGTATATATAGAGAAAGACAACAAATTTTCAAGTTGGGTATATGCACCAGCCAACTGTTTCTACCTCCTAGTGGGAGCTGCCTATTAATGTTATTTTTAAAAAGGAAGCAAGGGGAGATAAATGGCATCTTTAAATCATTAAAGAGCAGAAAGAAAAAAAGAGCTAAAGACATTCTCTAATAAGATTATCTGAATAACAATAACTACCAATTTTATTGAATAATAATTCTATTCAATAATTCTTTTTTTTTGTTTTTTCTCCGGTACCGGGAACTGAACTCACGACTTTGCGCTTGCCAGGCAGGCGCTTTCAATAATTCTATTGAATAACAATAACTACCAATTTATGAGTATCATGCTGAATTATGGGTTAGTAGTACAGAATCAAAGTTTTGTGTTTTTGTTTTGAGGCAGGATCTTGTTTTTTTTTTTTTTTTTTTTTTTGTGGGTACTGGGAATTGAACTCAGGACCTTGCGCTTGCCAGGCAGGTGCTTGTACCGCTGAGCTACATCCCTGGCCCAGGATCTTGTTTTGTAGTCTAGGCTGGCCTTGAACTCATTATTATGGCCTAAAGGTGTGGCAGTCCTCCTGCTTCAGCCTCTTGAGTACTGGGATTACTGGTGTGCACCAACACAACAGGATCCGAAGTTCTTATCCCCAAATTTCCAGTATTAGAAAAATCACTCAGTAGCAAAAAATAGGCCATATTTCATTTATTCAACTAACCTGGAGGTAAAAAACATGATTTAAGCATATGCTATGTATACTTTATTTGGGGAGATGGAATCTAGAAAAGACATACTTGTACCAGCTTTCAAAAGGAAATGATACTTCACATGAATCCTAACAAATGAAAGGGCATACGTGCTAGAGAAACGGGGACCTGCAGGAGGCATTCTAGGTACAAAGAATAGAATATACACTTTTTTCAGGAGTGTGCAGATTTTGATTATTAGGATCATTTCTAACACCAAGGTCCAAGAACATCTTGCATAGCCGCCTTTTTAAAAGCCTGTTGGTATTTAGACATACAAAGTTGAGAATGTTTTATCTTTAAATAAATAGTCTGGAGGCACAGGCTGAGGAGTTTCTTTAAAAGCCTCACCCAGCTCTGGGTCTCCCCTAGGAGCCAGCAGCACAGTGGGCGGCTGTTGTTTTTCTTCTCCACCATGAAAAGTTCTTAATCCACTAGGTCTGCTCGGCTCATAATCACTAATATGGACAATTTGGAGAATGTGAAATTTGTGGATATGGAGGAAGGTCGTGCTGGAGCCAGAATTCATTTGTATGTTATGCCAAAGAATTTGGACTTCATCTTAAAGTCACTGAGATACTAAATAATCAGCATGCTGTACACAAATAGATTTTAGAAAAACCGGCCTGGTGGCAATACAGAGATAGACTGAAATGGAGCAGGGTGTGTACTAAAAAGTGAGGTCACAGAGCAAGCAAGAAATGATACCTTCCAACAGGATAGTGGCAGTGTCTCTGAGGATAAAGTAAAAGCCTTAGGAAGCAGAATCAGAAGAACTTGCTGAGTAGAGGTGGAAATGAGTGAGAGTGTAGAGTCCTTTTAAAGCCAAATCAAGTGAAGCCAGTGTGGCACAGTGAGGGTACGTCAGGAGGAAACCCAGTGCCCTACCTTCGCAGTGCTGTACGTATTATCAGGGTCCCCCTCCACACACTCCAACAGAGTCACATGTGTGAGGTTTTCCACAGGATTTGTAAGAGTCAGGAGGACCTGGCTCTCCTGGGGAAGAAAAACATCTCTCAGACATGTGCCATGTGTCACACGGGTCCATTTTCTTAGCTGTCATACCAAATATTTTACAGAGTCATCTCCCCATCACTCCTGAGCAACGACGCCTACCTATCCGCCTCATGGACGAATTCTCAGTATTCACCGGTCTGTTATCAGTATGTTAGGCTACGTGCTCTTGGGAGCTGCTATTTCACTGAGGAAATGAGAAGCATCCCACAGAAGAACCAGTTGGTTACTAGATCCAGACATCCTGAGGAATACACATTAGCTAAGTGATTGTCCTAATCAGGTTGCCACTTCAGGACTGAAAGAAGGAAGCCCCATAAATAAAATAACAGAGCCACAGCCTAGCCAGATTTTTAACATAGAAAATAATGACATACCAAGACTTATAAAAATCTTTTAAGACTTCTTGTGTCATGATAGTTTGCCCTTATTTGGTGCTTTCTTGAGGTTAGTAAAATACTCTTTCAAATGAACAAGCACTATATAAAGGACTGTATGTTCCCATGAGCTAAAGAAAGGAAGAGCTACAAAGCCTGCTACAGAGTATTCTATAATTCACTGGGAGAGCACGGAGGAAGAGGTATGGATGAGGATTCCAAGGAAGAGCAAGGCTGTGGTAAAGAAGTGCTCTAGCTGATCTGTGGTCAGATGCATAAACACATGAGGCCATGGAGAACCTCCGGGCTGCAGATGACGGAAAGATGCCTGCATCACAGGGTGTGATGTCATTATCCCTCTTTTCTCCCCCTATGATTCTACCTTTACAGTGTGTGTACCCGGCTCCTTCTGCATACATTTTAAAGGTGTTAATGTCACGAATCTAAGTTTAAGAAACTTAAAGTCACAATTCCTTTATTATTCTTTTTTCCTATACTGCTCACTGCAACCCATTCCAAATATACACACATGCGCACATCCCTGGTCAGTCAGTTCGTTCTGTTAGTAAGTGAGGTACTAACCTTCATGTAGCGAAGGTTGGGAATTGACATGATTCTCACTTCTGGAATATAATTGCTGCCAATGAATAAAAAAGTATTAATGTTTACTGGAGTCTTTTGAAATTATTTTCTCTTTTTAAGCTAGTACAACAAATAAATTCTTCATGTTAATTAGAATTTGTAAAAGAAAAAGAAATTTAAAGTCATATTAGCATAGTAAGAGACTAGATATGAAACCAAACTGATTATGAATTCTATCTCAAATCTTAGACTATGGCCTATACATACAGAGCTAGTTTAGAGCCTATACGTAGGGGTGTGTGTGTGTGTGTGTGTGTGTGTGTGTATATGTATCATGACAGACACTTTCTGTATTATTATATTTTGGGGATTTATTAGATATAGTTTGGAGATCTTAATAATTCATTTTTATAATTGTAGAAGGTATTGGTTATAAGATCCAAATCTCATATAACAATATATTATAGGGCTATAACAATGTATTCTTACCACATGTCAAGCAATGTCCTAAGTACCTTGTAAGTATTATTTCATGTCATCTTCATGACAACTTCATGAAGCAGGTCTTATTACTACTACAGGTCATACTACTACAAGGTAATACTACTACAAGGTCATACCTTGGTACTACTCAAGTACTTTGAAGCTGGTCAAATTTGGGTACTCGATGCATCTAGATGAGGAAAGTTTATACCCTGTTCATCATTTGTTTAGTCCACGTGTAAGCTAGAACCTATCGGCATCAACTGCCTTAGGACTTGCTACCCTTTTAGAGCCAAAGCAATTTGGTAAGCTGTCATGCCTCCTGGAACCGGAGTACCAAAGTACTGCTGTTATCTCCGTTGTTAGAATGAACAACCTGGGCATGGTAAGTGGCAGTGTGAGGATTTCACATCCGGGCAGCCTGGCTCTAGTGTCCCTGGTCTTAACTACTATGTCATGCTGCCTCTAAGTAAGACAGCAGAAAACTGTGCTTAAGTATGCTTGGTCTGGACTCAGAACTGCCCAACACCAAATGGCAGCTCAGTGTCTACAGACCGAGAGACTGCTTTCTAAAACTGATGCTCTCTGTGATCTGGCTTTTCAACTATAGAAGTAGAACAGTAAGGGCATTTATCTCTTGAGCTTATTGTAAAGGGTAAGTTAACCAGTATGTACAAAAATTGCTTTGCCAAGGGCTTGCAACAAAGCATGCATAACCTTTAGTTATTGTGCATATATTAATGTAAGGTAAGATCTACTGAAGAAATACAAAAGGAAAAAAGTACATCTTAGAATCTAGGCAAGAAGGCATTTTGACCTCAAACTAGATATTTTTCATGGTGAACAGCAGGATTACTAGAGTATCTTAATTGAAATTCAAGGTTCCCCTACCCAGGATGTAGATTCAGCACGCCTGAGGTAGGGCCAGAGCATCTTTATTAAGACTGCTGGGTGATTTTCCTGTAGCCTCAGCCTCCCAAGTAGCTGGGCTTATAGGTCTATGCAACCACACCTGGTGTTATTGTTTTTGTTTTAGTTTTTGGTACCAGGAATTGAACTCAGGACCTTGCGCTTGCCAGGCAGGTGCTTGTGCCACTGAGCTATATCCCCGGCCCTGTGTTTTGTTTTTGAGACAGGGTCTCGCTACGTAGTTCAGGCTGGCCTTAAACTAGCAGCAATCCTCTTGCCTCAGCCTCCCAAGTGCTGAGTTTACAGGCGTATGCTACTATGCTGGTTCAGATTCTTTGCCTCACTCCCACCTCATCGCCTCTATTTTTGTGTTTCCAATTGGAATTCTATAAGCCAGGGCTGTTATACTTTTGTCACGAGTGCTAAATGGGTATCCCTTCCTGCTCTACTGTCCGTCACAGGACCCTGCTGTTAATTTCATGCTTCACTTTGCCCAGTGGTGTCTCTTCTCCCTACTAGTTTCTGGGTTTCCTGACTTGCTGAGGAAGGGCTTTCCTACTCTAAGGTTACACAAATTTCCTCATTTTTCAAAACATTTTTCTTTTTTGCAAAGTGGTTTTTACACATAAAATTTCCTTCCACTGACAAGTCCCAATGAGTTAATGCTAACTTAAATCATTTTTATTCCACACAATATTATCAGGATACAGGTAAAGAAAGTGAACCTTGTTTCAGGAATACACTTTACTTTGCTGTACTTTATTAATTAATTTATTTTTTGAAGTGCTGTGGATGGAAACTCGGGATGCTCTACCATGAAGGTACATCCCCAGCCACTTTTAGTTTTTATTTTGAAAGACAGTCTAAGTTGCCTAGGCTGGGCTCAAACTTTTGATTCTATCTTAGCCTCCCACATAACTGGCATTACAGGTGTGTCCCAATATACCTGGCAATTTAGTATACTTTGTTATGTTTAAATTTTAAAAAGATTACTCCCAAACTTAGGTACTTTATAATTTGTAATGAATGACTAGTGACTCCACCCAAAAGTCAACACAGCACATTGCCCCAGACCATACTACATTTCTGTGTTCCTAACACTAACACTCTTGATTCTATGTGTATAGATTTACCTTAAACTTCATGGTATGTAACTCAATTCAAAACGTGAACACAATGACAAGATTATTCTAATATAATTTTCTTTTTTTTTTAGACCAAGAGTAAATACATTTTGTATTTAAAAACAAAACAAAACAAAACAAAACTGAAAACACTAAGACCAGAATCAGTAACCCAAAACACCAGCCCCAAAATACTCACACAGCAACCAGCTGGATTTTGAATTTGATAGATGTTGGATTAAATTCTGGCTTGCTCAAATTATGTTCACATTTCTAAAAGAAAAGTATATATGTCAGAGAAAAACCAGAACATACTTTGCTGATCCACAGAGCTGCTAAATTCAGAAAGATGGCACTTACTAAAATATTGTTTTATTCTAAGACCACAGGTTTTGAAATAGTGTATGCTACTGATAGTTAAAATTTATAAAAGATGTTTAGACTTCCAGATATAAGCAAACACATTATGAAATATAATTACAGCTCTGTGGTGCCTCAAAACCACTTAAGTAAGTGACACATGCTGGAGTTCTGTGCTGAACAAACGTGCTCCCTGGCTTTCCTGGGTTTTACATCACACTGACTTTGAGGAAGTTGTAGGTGCTGTGACTGTTAACACTGTCATTTTATAGGTGATTAAAATGGGATATAGGAAAAGTAAACACTTTATACCAGTTCACAGAGCCAGTAAGAATGAAAGCTGGGATTTAAATCCAAGTAGTATAATTCCAAATCCCACACTTTAAAATACAGAAATGAATATTTACTACCTTTTTTGGAGGGGGGGTATTATTTACTACTTTCCAAAAAAAGCATACATAAAACCAGTTAAAAATTTCTTAATGGTACCAAAAAGATGTTTGGTATAAAAGGTACCTGTTATCTGTGTGTTCCCTTGCTCCCCTTTCCCCAGAGCTGTCCTATGTAGACAAACTATGCACACGTTAAGTGTAACCACACATCGTCTTCCTCTTTTCTCACAATGACAAAAAGGGAATTTTTGGGGGGTGGTTTTGGTACTAGGGATTGAACCCAGGGCCTTTGCACTGACCTACATCCCTCTTTTATTTATTTATTTATTTTAATTTGAGAGAGGGTCTTTAAAAGTCAGCAAAGTTGTCCAGGCTGCGCTTGAACTTGCAATCCTCCTGCTTCAGCCTCCCAGGATACTGGGAGTACAGGCATGCAACGCCACACCTGGCTTAAAAAGGAGCATTTTATATGTTCTTTTAACGTCTTTTAACTTGAAATTCCCTTTCAACACACAGAGAAGCCTCTTTCACCCACTGTAACTTTCTGTGCCTTATTTAACTTGACAGAAATTGATGGACATTTGGAATATTTCCACTATTTTGCTACTACAAATAATGCAGCAATGAGTGCTGTTATAAATGAATGACTTTACAATGTGTAAATGCACCTGTAAGATAATTTCCTAAAAATAGATCAATGTATGTATGTATTGATTATTTTGACAGACACAAACTGCTAACTTCTGCTGATCTGATGATTATGAAATGATGTCTCTTGGCAGGTTTAATGTACATTTTTAAAATTTCATGTTCATTGGGTACTGGAATTTTTTTCTGCCATGACTTGTGTGTTAGCATCTACTATTTTTATACTGGCTTATGCTTTTCTTGCTAATTTGCTAAAGTGCATTATCTATCCTGGATGTTAATCATGTGTTAATTATATATTATTCAAGTTACTCATCTCAATCTATAGCTTTTTTATTTCTTCATAAGTTTTCTTTGGGGTGGGGCTACAGAATTTACTTTCAATGTAGTTAAATATACAATTCTTTATAGTTTGTATTTGTTTGTTTTACTTATGGAACCCTCTCCTACCCACAAGTCATGAGGGTATTCTATATTTTCTTTTAAAGTTTGCTCTTCGTATTTTCTCTTAAAAGTTTGCAATGTTTCCAAAACTGATATTTGTGTAAGGTGTGAGACAGGGACTCAATTTTATTTTCCTTCCATATTATCATTTGACCTAGCAAAAAAATCTATTCTTTTCCCTACTGATCTGGAATGCCATACTTAGTAAATTTCAAGTTTTCTTACATGAATGGATCAGTTTGTTTTTCTATTCTGCTGGATATATTATATACATACATATGTTACTATATTAATGGCATCCATGTAAATTTACATTAATCTATACAATAGTATTACTATTATTCCTTTTTTGTTGTTATTTTTTGAGAAAGAGTCTTGCTTTATAATTCAGGCTGACCTTGAACTCATGGTGGTCCTCTGGCCTCAGCCTCCAGAGTGCTAGGATTACAGGCATCTGTCAACATGCCCAGCTTGGTTTTGTATTTTTATACTGATTTCTTAATTTATTAATAAAGTACCTGTTCTTCTAGTTTTTTTTAATTTACTTTGTTATTCTTTTTCTAACTGCTTGAAATGGATGCTGAGATACAGACCTTTCAACCTTTCTTCTTACCTGTATCTTCACACAGGGATCTTTGTACCTCTAAGAATGGCATTAATTGTGTCCTACAAATTTTGCCATATAGCAATTACCAATTTCTAACTTAATTGCATTATGATCAAATAATAAACTTTAGTAATTTCATCTTTTGAGAAATGCTGAGACATTATAATCTAGTACATGGTTAATTTTTACACGTATTGTACAGACACTTTTAAAAACAGAGTAGCTTTTCTATAAGTTACTTGACAAGATGGTATATTCTGCAGGGTCTTAGAGATAGTTTTTTATATACTCTCATTTGTTCACATTTGCTGGTTAAATTGTTCAGATGTTATATATCTTTACTGATTTTCATCTGTTTGTTCTCAGTTACTGAGAGAAATATGTCAAAATATCCCCAAATTATTTGTTTACTTACATAATTTTCTGAAATGTTGTTTTATAGATTTTGAGTCTATATTATTTGGTACACAAGAGATTTAGAATGTTGTATCTTCCTTTGTGAAGGGGATCCTTGTTCTTTATGAACTGTTATGGTTTGAAACATTTCCCCTGCAATCAGCATGGGTTTCTTGCAATCAGCGTGTTGATGAGTATTTTGTTAGACTGAGAGTTTTTGTCTTTTAATAGAAGCATTTATCGTGTTGATATTTAATATAAATACTGAAATGTCAGGCTGTTAATCTAACTATATGCTTTTTACCTGAGTGAACCACCAGTTAATTTTGTGATTTTCCTACTTCCTTTTCTAAAAAGAATTTTTTAGATATTTTCTCATGTATACAAAAACACTGCTGGTGTTAGTTAAATCCCTAACTGCTTATCATGCAAGCTCGGCTAAAAGGTAGACTTTTTAGAGATGGGGAAGGGTCGGAAAGGGAGAGGAGATTGAAAATGATCAAGATATAATATACATGTACCAATTCCCTAAAACAAATGTACCTATCATGCATTACACCATATATCAATAAAAAATTAACAATGGCTAATCTTCCTTCTGTATTCTTCCCTACTCTTCATCCTTGATTAGTTTGTGATAAATATCAAACATCAGGTCATTTCAGCTATAAAGATTCTCCAAAATATATTTTAAAAAATAACAATACTATTATTATCCCTAAGAAAAGAACAACTCTTTAATAAAATAATCCTACCAATGTTAACATTTCTCCAAAGATTTAATAAAAATTTCCTTCCTTCTTTTCCTGCTGGATTTCTTCTAACCTGGGCCATTTTCTATGTTTTGTTTGGATCAGGATCTATACAGAGACACATTCTGTTTAGTTTTATGCTTCTTAAATTTCTTTTAAAATCTACAGTTGCATTATTTGATAATGTTAGCCACTATCCACATGAGATTTTTTTTTTCATTTTAAAGAGAAAAAACCCCCAAAATTTCAAAACAAGGTATTAGGAGGGTAGCAATGGTTAATACACTGCATACTGTTATCTTTAAATCCGTTACTCAGAGTACAAGATATAGGCATTTAATTGTCCAAACAATATTAGCACAAACCTTTCTTTTTAATGAACTAAGAGAAACCTGCTATATAACTATCTGATTTTTTAAATATATATGTATATATATTGTTTTTTTCTTTTCCCTTCCTTCTTTACTTCATTCCCCTGTTCCAGTTTCTCTTTCCTTTTAAAGTTTCTTTTCATTTTACAAGATCTATTATTGTACATTTTGGACCTTATTTAACTCTTTCAGCTTCTCATACTAGGGAGACAGTATGATATTTACACATGTGCAACTGGTTTATTTCACTTATGAGTATGGTCTCGAGTTGTATCCATTTACCTATCAAAGTCATCAGTTTATCCTTCTTTATGATTAATACTCCAATGTAAAAAAAACATATTTTTAACCATTCCTTGATTGATGGGCATTTGGGTTCTTTCTAAGATCTAGGTATTACAAATTGTGCTGCTATAAATGTGGGTGCACATATATTGCTGTGGTATGATGTTTTCAGTTCTTCTGGAAAAATACCCAGAAGGGGAATAGCTGAGTCAAATGGGACCTCCAATCTTAGTTTTTTGAGGAATCTCCAGACTGATTTCCACAGTGGTTGCACCAGTCTACACTCCCGCCAACAGTGGAGCAGGGTTCCTTTTTTCCCCACAGCCCTGCCAGCATTTGTTATCGGTTGATTTCTTGATGATAGCCCTTCTTTCTGGGGTGAGATGGAATCTCAGTGTTGTTTTAATTTACATCTCTCAAATGATCAATGATGCTGAACATTTTTTCATACATTTATTTGTTGTTTATATTTCTTCACCTAAGAAGTGTGTATTCATCTCAAATGCCCATTTTTGGATTGGGCCTTTAAAGTTAGGAGGTCTGATCTTTTTGAGTTCTGTGTATGTTCTTGATAGTAATTCTTGGTCAGAGGAAAAGCTGGCAAAAAATTTTCCCACAATGTGGGCTGTCTTTTCACTCGGTGGTTTTTCTTGCTGTGCAAAAGCTTTTTAATAAGATGAGATCCAAGTTGTTGAGTCTTTGTGGTAGTTCCTATGCAATCAGGTTTTATTCATAAAGTCTCTGCCTACACCAGTGACCTCAAGAGTTTTACCTATTCTATTTTCCAGCAGATTTAATGTTTCTATTTTAATATTTAGATCTTTGATCCATTTTGAATTTAGTTCAGTGCATGCTGAAAGATATGGGTCCAATTTTAATCTTTCGCATGTGCAGAGCCAGTTTTTCCAGCACCATTTATTAAAGAGGATATCTTTCTGCCAGTGAATGTGTTTGGCACCTTTGTCAAAGATAAGGTGGCTGAGTATGTCTGGAGTTGTTTCTACATCTTCTGTTCCAC